AAGGGCGCGGACTTGTGCGGTGTTACCCCCTCGACGGGGGCTATCTCCCCTGGACTAGCCCAGGGAGGGAGAGGCGGAGGAGGGTAGTAGTCTCAGGAGGCTGTTTGGCGTCTTGTGGTGTGAGCTCTTTGCGCTCTTTTTTGCGTGAGGATTTTTGAGCTTGGTGACCTCCCCAGCCCGGGAAGACTCGTCGGGCTCCCGGTCGCCCAAGTCCTGGTAGCGAGCTCTCTGAGATGCTCGGTTCGTTCGGTCGGCAGGAAGAGCCCCCCAGTTGCGACTTCGTTTATGTTAGGAGACCAACGGGCATAGATCCCGTCTAGTTGGAGCGCCAAACAAGCGCTGTTGCGTGCCGGCCGTCGTTTCCCGTGCGGCCTGACCCGGGGGCGGAGTGCATGAGACTAACCAGCCGTATGCACCCGCCCCCCGCGCTGTGCTTCGGCCCTGGGCCCCCGGCTTTTCAGCCCACAGTGTAATCAACGTCATACATACATACATACATACATACATACATACATACATACATACATACATACATACATACATTCTTTTTTTTGCTTGAGGATTTTTGAGCTTGGTGACCTCCCCAGCCCGGGATGACTCGTCGGGCTCCCGGTCGCCCAGGTCCTGGTTGCGAGCTCTCTGAGATGCTCGGTTCGTTCGGTCGGCAGGAAGAGCCCCCCAGTTGCGACTTCGTTTATGTTAGGAGACCAACGGGCATAGATCCCGTCTAGTTGGAGCGCCAAACAAGCGCTGTTGCGTGCCGGCCGTCGTTTCCCGTGCGGCCTGACCCGGGGGCGGAGTGCATGAGACTAACCAGCCGTATGCACCCGCCCCCCGCGCTGTGCTTCGGCCCTGGGCCCCCGGCTTTTCAGCCCACAGTGTAATCAACGTCATACATACATACATACATACATACATACATACATACATACATACATACATACATACATACATACATACATACATACATATATACATACATACATACATACATACATACATACACACGAACTCGTGTACCCGCGACGCATACCAAAAATAACACATACCCCCACCCACCCTTAAGCCACCTCTCACATACGCTCATATACACACGCACATACACACGCACATACACACACGCTCGTGCCCCTCTCTCCCCCCTTGCCCCATGCAGTCACCTCGGTTTCCCCGGCAGTGTGGCCTCCCTCTGGCAGCAGGCGGGTCGGGCGGGGCGGCGGGAGCGGGACAGTGTCAGTGTGCTTGTGGCGTTTGACGGCCCCCTAGACCAGCACCTGGTACGGCACCCGGAGCAGCTGTTCGGGAGGCCGGTGGAGAGCGTGCAGGTGGGGGGCGTGTGTGTATGTCCGTGTGTGTATGTCTGTGTGTATGTATGTCTGTGTGTGTCTGTAAGTATGTGTGTTGGTTAAGGAGGAGTGGAGAGGGGAGAGCGGGAAGTGGCGAGTGTGTGTGGGGGTGTGGGGGTAGGGTGGGTTTGTGTGAATGCGCAGACCTTTGTTTTGTGGTGGGATGGTGGCGGGTGTGTGTGTGTGTGTGTGGGTCCATGGTGAATGTGGACAAATGGGAGGGGCAACAGTATAGTGTTGGGATTTACGTAACATGAAAAGTAATGAAAAATGGTATACAATGAAAAAACAAGAGGTAGAAGCGAAAAAGTGTCTTTTTGTATCTTTTGAGAGAACGAGAGTATGTGTATATTTACGGAGTTACAGATATAATGATAAATGGCCATGCAGTTGCCAGTTTCTCCCCTACCGCCCCCCCCCCGCCCTACACTTAGGGTTTTTCCCCTACCGCCCCCCTACCGGGCCCCCCCCCCCAGGTTGATGTGAACCAGCCAGATGTACTGCAGCAGCACCTGCTGTGCGCCGCTCTGGAGCACCCCCTGCTGCTGCAGCAGGACCTGCCCCTCTTCGGACACAACATGCCGCTTGCCGTACAGCAACTGATCTCCAACTGCCTCCTATCGTCCCGCCTCCCTCCGCCACTCCATCCCCACGCCCCCCGGCGGTTAGAGGACCACTACCATCCCGACCTCCCCCTTCAGCCCCCCGGGTGCTCCGCCCCTCTGGTGTACTGCGGCCCTCACGACCAGCCCGCCGCCGCAGTGAGCCTCCGCGCCATTGACCCGGAGCGGTTCGTGATATGGGATGAGGGCAGCGGGGTGGCGCTGGAGGAGATTGAGGCCAGTACGGCATTTTACCAGGTGAGGAGGTGCGGGGGGGTTGGGGGTTGGGAGGGGGGAAAAGGGGGAAAGGTGGGAGGGGTTGGGGGTTGGGAGGGTGAGATGGGTGAGTGTGGGAGGGTGGGGAGAGTGTGTGCGGCTGTAGAGGCTTCCGCTGGCCGTTGTTGCCGTTAACCTCCACCTCCACCTCCACCTCCACCTCCACCTCCACCTCCACCTCCACCTCCACCTCCACCTCCACCTCCACCTCCACCTCCACCTCCACCTCCACCTCCACCTCCACCTCCACCTCCACCTCCACCTCCACAGCCATCTTGCCCTCTGCCACGTTATCCTCCACACCTTCTCTAACTGCCCTTCGGCCCGGGCGGCGATGGCGCACCGCCACCTCGAACGTGTCGTACGATGTACAATTATTGTGCAGGTGTACGACGGTGCCGTATACTTGTTCCAAGGTCGGCCGTACTTGTGTCGTCAGCTCAATCTCGGTGAGCGGGTGGCCCTGGTACGGCGGGCGGATGTCAAGTACTACACCAAGATCCGCGACTTCACGGATGTGCACGTTACGGGTGAGGGGGTATCATTGGGGGGCTGGGGGCTGTGTTTTGTATGTATGTATATGTGTCTGTCTGTCTGTCTGTGTATATCACATATATATATTGTATGTATTGTATGTGTATGTGCCCCCCACCGTGTATGTGCACTCGTTACACCTATCTCTGTCTGGGTAATGCAACCGCGGTGTTACCAGCACATACACAGATGATGGGACATGTGGTGCGGTTGTCTGCCTGCGTGTGTGTCCCGCCCGAGGTGTGGTGCGGGATCGCTCGTTCACGGACAGTGTGTCGCCCTTAGCATCATCATCCGCAATTTATACCATATGCCTTCAATGCCTTCAATGCCTTCAATGCCTTCAATGCCGCCACTGCCGCCACTGCCGCCACTGCCACTCCTGCCCTCACTTACTCGCTGGTGCCGCTGGTGCCGCTCAGGTGGCCGTGTTGCCTACCCCGCCTCCTCCGCCGCCGCCCCGCTCCAGCACGCGGCGGGACTACTGCCGCTGCAGCCACCCGCCGGACCCTCTGCCGCCGCCACCACCTCCACATCCGCTGCTGTCGCGGCTGCTACTGCTGCCACCCCCCCCACCCCCACCGCCCCCACAACCGCCCGCTGTGAGAGCGCCGTGGTGGCGGTTCGCTACTTGGGCTTCCACCGCGTTTGGCAGGGGGGCAGCAACCGCGTGTTTGACTCTGTTGACCTGTTCTTGCCGGACGTCGTGTACGACACACAGGTGGGGGATGGAGTGGAGTGGGGTGGGGTGGGGTGGGGTCTGGGCCACCGTCGCCGTTACTTCGGTCAAGCGGTGGTGGAGGCGAGGTGCCGTCCTCCATCCCCCGCGTGCCCCGCTGCCTCCCTCTCCTCCCCCCTCCACTTCCCCCCCTCCCCTCCCTCCCGGCTCTGATTGCCGCCAGATGTTCATCTTCCTGCACCTGCTACACCTAGTGGGGCACCTAGGGCTGTGTTGGCGCTGGTGGCAGTTTGCGGGTGCTTTGGAATTGTATAGAGGCAGCTGTGGACCTTGTCTGCTCGTTTGTTTGTTGCGTCATCATCCTACCTACATCATATGCTTAGTTCCCGTCCCTTCCCCCACCCCCTCCTTCCCCCACCCCCTCCCTCCCCCATCCCCTCCCTCCCTCCATTCCACACTTACTTCTTTACGGCTTGGCTCTACTGCTTTTCTTCCGCTCTTACTTTAGTCTTGGCGGCTAGGTAGGTAGGTAGGTAGGTTTCCGCGGTTGTCAGTTCTACTTCTTGTACACTCTTTCCTTGGCAGCAGCTTCACTCGTTCGTGGTTCGTCTTTCCCCTTCCCTACCCCCTTCCCTACCACCCTCCCTACCACCCCTCCCAACCCCTCTCCCTACCCCCCCGCCCGCCCCCCCCATCCCCCCTCCCTACCCCCTTCCCTACCCCCCCCCTACCACCCCCCCCGACGCAGGCGGCCTACGTGCGGGTGCCGCCCTCAGCTCGGCGGGAGTGCGCCGCGCGGGCGCTGTCCTTCCGGGAGGGGTGCCACGGGGCCAACCACGCACTGCTCAACGTGGCACCCCTCTTCCTCACCGCCAACATGCGGGATCTGGCCACTGAGTGCGACAACCCGTACGACGCGCGGTACCGCATCGAGCGATTGCTGCTGTACGACAAGCACCGCGGCGGTATAGGTTTGTCGGCGGCGGCAGCGCCGCTATTTCCGGCGTTGCTAGCGCGCGCACATCAGCTGGTTTCGGAGTGCCGTTGCCCGTACGCCAAGGGCTGTCCGCAGTGCGTACAGCACCTGGAGTGCCGTAACTACAATGCCGTACTCAGTAAGGCGGGTGCGGAGGTGGTGTTGCGGCATGTTTTGGAGCAGGAGCGGGCGGCCGGGGTGGTGGCGGCGGTTGGGGAGAGGCGAGGTGGGGTGGACTGTGCCGCCCAGCAGGACCCCCCTCCTCCCCCTCCCCCTCCCCCTCCCCCTCCATTGTAAGGTCAGCCGGCGGCCGCGTAGAGGGGGCCGGAGTCGGAGGGCCCGCGGATCAGCGATTTTTGTTTTGAGGATTATCAATGTTACTCAAAAGCCAAGGAATTTGGTTTTTTCACCTCGGGCTGTTGCTGTTGCTGCTGCTGCTGCTGCTGCTGCTGCTAACAAACTCTTCCTTGACCGTGAGGTGCTCGGGGGGGAGCGGCAAGAGGCCCCCAGCGGCCCCCGGTAACATACCGCGTTGATTTGCCGAGAGCCTCCAAGCCATCCGCCCGGCCGCAATAAGAACTTCTTTCGGAGCGGTTTCAGACCCCACAGTGGAGGTCGCGGTTGCTTCCGGTAGGCGGGCGGGGTCGCTCGCAAGGGGGGCGGCACACAAAGAGGGTACGGCAGATCCACATGCCCCCAGGGGCCCCCCACCCCCAATGTTAGAGCCCCCCGGCGTGTGGCAGAAGATGGAGTTGAGACTTCCTGGTGGGGGCACAAACCCTAGACAGTGTCCTTTTCACTAGTCCTAGACCGGGCCGAAAACCCCCTCTCTCGATGTATCCTTTTTAACGAATCTATTTTATTGATTTCCTTTTTTTAACAAAACTTAAACACTGGGCGGTACAGCAGTTGGGGGGCGGGGCAACAGTTGACGTCGGTCTCAGACCGGGGAGGAGGATGGGGGGCTGCAGAGTTGTTGAATGTACGGCAGGGAGGGCAGGACGAGCAGGGAGCAGCGTAATAGTGCTGCTTTCGGTTAACATGGTATCGACTTTCAAATGGCGCTTTGAAATAATGTTTTTTTTTGTGCGGGTGTGCCTGGTTGGGCAGCCAACCGGTGTAGCTTGTGGGTCGTGGCGTACGAGGGCGATGTGCGGTGGTGTGGGTGTGGGTGTAGGTGCCGGGAGACGAGGCCTTCATACGGCTTGTGGTCCGTGGTTGGCTGGCTTGCTGGGGGCTCGGGAGCCTTCGTCGTAATACGGCTATATCCCGAACGGATTGTAATTCCTTTGGAAAGGTCAAACAACGGTCGAGTAGGCTGGAGACTCTTTCACACTTTGGAACTTGGGGGAGGGGGAATGATCTGTGTGGGTGGGTACATGCCGGTGTATGCGTGCTGGAGCTGTCCCTTTCGAGTGTATAAATGCAGGCCAACATGGCGTTCTGGGGTATCGGGAGCCGAAACTTCTTTCGGCCTCATAAGGCGGGGAGGTGCAGGATGCGTGGGCGATCATGTTTGCATTTCAACATTTGTGTATATCCTCATCATGGAGATGATAATTTTGGCTCTGGGGTAATGGACCAGCAGCAGCATTAGCAGTTTCCCGATAGGATAAGCCGGTTCAGCAGGGTGGACGCTTGCGGCGGATTTGCAGCTACCTCAGTTCTGAGCATTTAGCAGCTCTGATTCAAACCACGGGCTCTGTATGTCACTGCGACAATTTGGTATAATACAAGTTGTCGCAAAAGACGTCGCTTCGTCGTGCGTGAGAACAGATGAGTCGGCTGCGGACAACTAAACCACGGAATTCATGCCTTAACGACTACATATTTTTTCTTCTCAATGAACTGACTGAATATGAAATGGAATGCCCCTTCTAACACTTTGCATGCCACGGTTCCCTTCCTTTTTTCGGAGCGTGCTGGAAGACGCTGGAACTGCACTACTTGGTCTCAGACACGGTGTCTTTATTTTTCAATGTAAAAGCACATACGGGGTTACTGGGCATGAGGGCTGGAAGAGCGCGGTTGGGCACTGGAGGGAGAGTAACGGGCACCGGATTGGCAAACGAACATTGTCGGTTCACAACGCGCAAAGACTTGGTGCAAATCATTTTTGAATTCTGAAGCGTATTGATACTACCTATTGCACTTTCATATTTTCTTAGTATGAATCAGGATGGTGTAACTTGGGGACAAACGTTGTCGTTGTATCTTAGGGGTTTAAGATACCGTTGCAGTTTAGGTTATAAGCTCCCCGGAGATCAGGAAAAGCGTTAAGCCTAACATAACTATCTAAGGGCTACATATGAAACTTGATATAACATAGCAACGCTGCTTCAGCCTTGGTTTCGTCGCCATGGTTACCAAATGTACGAGCAGGGCTTTTGCAACTCTCGCTTTGCTTTACCTTGGAGCCTCTTTACTGCCATCATGCAGTTGCGAGGACGATCCATCGACAAGTTTAAGACGCCTCCACTGGTTAGATTTGCCCGGCGCTCCTACCCAGCAATCTCTCGCGCCTCGGCGACCCGTACGGGCGCTTGTACCTCGATCCCCCAGGAGCCCCCGGGCCCCAAGCGTTCCCCTGGAACCAAGCCCTCCCCCCCCCGTACCAGGTCCGCCTCCACCGGAATCTCCTCCGAATGCGCCTCTGCAGCTGTCCCTTGCCCCTCGGAGACCAGCACGACAACAAAAGCCACGATCCCCAAGAATCACGCGAGTTCCCCCAAGTCCCCGTGCCCCGAATATGCCAGCGGCGTTAGAGGCTGCCACGTTAGAGGGTGAGCCTGTTTTACGCTGGGCTACGGCCCCGCTTTGTGGGCGCTGCGCGTGGTTGCGCTAAGGAAGGCTGGTCATGTCCAAATCATACAGGTCGAATAGGGAATACAGCCGACCTGGACCAGCTGTATAGACAGTTAAATAACAATTTGTAAAAATGTATTACAACATGTGCTTACCTGGCCCGGACCTGTTCGCCCTCTTAGACTCGCCATTTTTGTTGCCGAAACAGAGTACGAATTTTATGTAGCTGCTATAGCTATAATCTCATCGTCAAAACAGCGCTGGTTGGGTCTTTATGCTTGGTCAGTAAATAACCCGACACACTCTTTTATGCACACCACCACTTGTCCGGCAGTCGGGTCCAACTAAAGCTGCAGCGAGAGCCCCACCGAGCTATACACGTAGTCATCTACCTATGGCCACTTGCACGTCAGTTCTCTGCCCGTCGTTTTTATGGCACCCGCAAGCCCGTAGTAGTTCCCCCGGCGCCGGCGCCGACCTGCATGGGGGCCACAACGAGACCAGCGCGCTGACCTACCCCTTCCACCCAATTTACCCTTTGCCTCGTGTTCAAACAATCGAACGGTCAACGCTGCGGGGTCCGTCGGTTTTGTTGTCTGCAGGCGAGCTGGACGTGCTTGTCAACGAAAAATCCACGGAAACATTACTGCGGGATGGCAGCGGAGATGTCACTGCAGTGTTGCTGGACGAGACGGAGGCGCTGCAGTTTGCTGGCCAGCTCGTCCGGCTCAGTGTCGAAGCGGGCGGCGAAGGTGACGGCGCCACTACCGACCAGGACTCGGCAGCGACGACGAGGAGTTCGACGACGGTCGGCGACGAGCAGTCATCGAAAGCCCACCATCGCCGCCGCCGACGGCTGCAGACTTCCCCAGTGCGGGCCAAAATAATTGAGAGCTTCGGTTTCGCAAGTAAAGATGCTCCCAAGGACGCGCCAAGTGGTGCGAGGAACATCACTAGCGTCGTTTTCCTGCTCAGCTTTTGTGGTTGGAACAATTTGTTCACCGCCGCGTCGTTCCGGGATTTTTGGCTCAACGGTCCCGACACACCGCCAACTGCCCGTACGGTGCAAAACTACTGGAGCTTCTGCTCTCAGGGCGCGACCCGCATGACGAACGCCACGCAGCTCATCTTTGAGGTTTCGGTGCGTGAACGTTTACGTCTTGTGTTGACCTCACATAAATTCCGTACATCTGTACGACACAAGTGTATAGTAGTACATATGTATGCGCACCCTATCCTTTACCCGTACATGCGTGTGCCAGATGCTCTCTTACGGCTGCTCGCGAGCCTGTAGTGAAATCTATAGCTGGGCGCAGCGGTTGGGGCTGACGGAGTCTCGTCCCCGCCTCCGGAGGTGTTGATTTTTTCATAAAATTTACGTTTTTTTAACCCCACCGCGCTAATTTTCTCTCCCATCATCCCACTTGAGCACCTGTCCGAGGAGTTTTACCCGCACCCTGTTTAGTGCTGCTGCTACAGACGAGCGCCGTACATGCCCTGCCTGCTGGTCCCTCATCAACATGCAGCTGCCGTGTGAGGGGACGTACGGCGGACGGTCGTACGACTTTGCGAAGAAGTGCGACAGCTCGTTGGTAAGCACGCGCGCACGCATGCCCTTACTGCCTGTAGCGCCTGTAATGCGTTGTGAACGTAAGAGCTTCAAACAAGCACTGTGGTACATTGCTTGGATCTCGGCGGGTTCTGAGGCTCTTTTGGCGATAGATACGACAAGACACTAATATGCCACGCAGCGGGCCTGGCATGCGCGTACATGCATACACGGGGGGTGCGGGTCGGGTGGCTTTTCCTGGCCCTACATGCCGACGCCACACACACCCCCCTGCATAAACGGGGTCTTCAGCACTTGGGGACTCATCATGAAGATGCGGGTGGGGGTGGGGGTGACGGAATGATTGAAGAGTTCAATCAGTGATTCTGACCAGCAGCAACACGTGCATGCGTTTTTCGCTTTTTAAAACGGTGAAAAATGTGTTGTCGTTCAGTAAGGTGGTGAGGCGTGGACTCACGTAAGGAACGAGGAATGATGCCAAAGCTGTGGATGCCTGTTGATATGCCTAACAACATCACCACAAGAGATCTTATAGAATCGGACATACTGTATGCCATAGGTGACCCCAGCTACCCCAGCAGGCAGGTCGTTACGGAGGACGAGAAATCTATCTTGGACAGCATTTGCTTGCTTGCTTGCATTGCGTATTTTGACTGGGCGAGCAAGGCACTGTTGCAAACTGCGGTTGGGCGGAAGACGCAAAGCAAAGTAAGCCCTGAAGCTCTTTGTTGAAAAGCAGAGGTGTGGATAGCACATGGTGAAAGTAAACAGTGCATGGTGTTACAGGGGTTTCGACCACCTGACGTCCAGAGCAGTGGTACTGCTGCTGATGCTGCCGCGTAACGCAAACAAGATGTAGACGGGAAAGGTACAGGAAGAGGCGAGAAGAGACAACAAGGCACACACCCGCATCACTTCGCGAGCGGACGCAGCATCAAGCAGCAGCCAGCAGCAGAGACGCACTGCTCCCTTCTCCGCTCTGTTCCACCGAGGGAGGGGGCGATTCCGCCGCCCCCATCAGTCTTAGCTCATAAAAAAGGGATGGCAGAATATGCAGTGGCCACAATAGGGTTGTTAGGCAGCCCTAAATCTGTTGGCCGCCTACCATGGAAGGCATATAAAGCCGCCATTCCCGACATCCCAGGGGGTTTCGGAAGGCACTTTTTGGCAGGGCTCGCCGTTGTAGTATCCTGGGTATCGCGGGATCTGACATCCGCCGATCGGTTCTTTTCTGAAAAAGACGTGATACAACAACGTTCACTTGTCGTTCCCTTGCGCTCTATCTATCTGGTATCACCATCACCCAATGTAGGAGCTGTATGCCTGGATGGATCTCGCCGACGACTACGTGCAGAATACACTGGGCCAAAATATCTCCAGCGTCAAGCAACGGATTGCAGTGCTGCCCTATGAAGTGAATCAGAACTGCTTCTGGGCAGGTACGGAATAATAATGAGCATACATGGTGGCGCGCGTGTGTGCGTGCGTGCGTGTGTGCTGCCATGCGCCAAGTTGGCGGTAGGCAAAGAAGCCTTGCCGGCCGGGCCTACCTGGTCTGCGGTCGTTCAGCTTGCCGGCCGGCCGGCCAGCACACTCTGAATCGTCACTTCACAGCCGCGCTGAAGGGCTGCGGCGGAGGCCACAGCGGCCACAGCGGCTACACGCTCATATGTGTGTGCTCGCGGCTGGCTGACTGGTCAGGTTGTGCAGGAGGTCATATCCACTCTTCTTTCTCATCATTTGCGTGGCCAAGTGGTGGCTGGTGGTGGCGGGAGCTACATACATACATACATACATACATACATACATACATACATAATAAGGCGGGAGCACACACGGCATTAGATACGTAGGTAGGGCCCCTTGGATCCCTGAACTCCGGAAGGCGTTATAGAAGAACAGCAAAGAATGATATTAACATAATAGTTACAGTGGCCGTGATAATATTAGTACCCCAGTCGCAGCCTGATAATGGTACGTCATTCGCTCGTTGGGGGTCGTACGATAACAACAAGGGGAAGCGATGATGCGGGGCGATGAGGGCCCACGCTGTCAGGCCCACCCCTATGTGGACAACACCGACGGGCAGGGAAAAAACCCTTCAAGCCTAGAACCTTCAAGCCCTGAGCCCACTTGCAGCACTTGATGATGGCACCCAAATGCATTGGCGCGCAGGCATGGGTTCGGTTGGTTGCAGCGGGTCTCGTTGCTATACCTGGATCAACGGCCGCTATTCTCAGGACCCTAGCACCTACGTGCACGAGCTTGGCCACAACCTGGGGCTGCAGCACTCGGGCCGCGTGGGCGTCGCATACGAGTACGCCGACTCTTCCTGCACAATGGGCCAGTGAGTAGTGGGGTGCTATCGATGTAGTAAGGTAGTTGTTGTCGTGTTGTGAGTTCGGGCCATGTTTTGCCCTGAAAGCTCTGATGCATGTCGCTGTTGATACGTGCTTTGTGTGATGATTGATGCTTGATATCGCAAAATTTTATTAATGACTTCCCTAACTACCCCCGTATTGACGTCGATAGCTACGAACATAATACCAAAATCCGTGGTATTTAGATAATGCGGATCCTAATCATGTCCCGATGATTCGTGTGCAAATGAACTTTGTAAGCGAATTGAAAGTTGGCAGCATTAACAAATCGGTGTATGTATATGTGTGTATGTGTGTGTGTGTGTGTGTGTGTGTGTGTGTGTGTGTGTGTGTGTGTGTGTGTGTGTGTGTGTGTGTGTCTGACGAGGGCGGGGCAAAGAGGTGGGGAAGGGAAGGGCCGGCCTGAAGACTGAGCCACCTTTCAAATGTTTGCTGCTTTGGATCTCGTCGCTCCTCGCCTCGCCTCGCCCACTTGACATCAAACAAACGCCCACCACCATTATCGCTGCACACACGCCCACCGCAGGGGCAGGACCTGCTATAATACACCAAACATGTGGCGCCTGGGCTGGCTGTCACCCGTCCCGGGGGGCGACCTGAACGGTACGACATTTGAAGTCGGGCGACCTCGGCGCTTCATTCTGCCTGGCCAGAACAAGTCACCGCAGTCCTTCATCCGCATCGACCCAACCTGGGTCCTCAAGGGTACTGAATCCAAGAGCCTCACTTCGACGCCTGCACCTGTCTTCTACGTCTCTCTGCGCACCCAAGAACCCCCTTTCGAAAACCTCAGTCCCGCTACGAACCGAGTGTACGTGTACACCTTTCAGGGGACACAGGCGAGTGTGCGTGTATGTGTGTATGTGTGCTTATGTATGTATGTGTGTGTGTATGTGTGTGTGTGTATGTGTTTGTTTTATGGAGCGACGTATTCGGCGCGCAGTGGTTGCCGTTCTTATCAAGTTAGGCCAGGGGGTTGTTTACCGGGGCAGGTAGCGATTATTAACCTCGTACCGCCCTGATGTACATGTACTGCGCTATCGTGGGTGCCGTTTTTGTCCTGAGCTGGTCCCCGTACTGCTTTCCCGCCGTACCTGGCGGCCCACCACAGGCCACTAATTCGTACATGCGGTCAGTCCAGCAAGCTATGCTAAATACCGACAACGAGTTCAGGACCAGTCAAACGTACGGCTTGCTCATACAAGTCAATTCGCTGTCAGCCAGCAACGCCACCGTTACCGTCTGCCGTTACAGTGGCGAGTCGGAATACCAGGCCAGCACGAACTCGTGTTCTGATGGTCGCGACAACGATTGCGATGGTCTCATGGTGAGCAAATGCAGAATGCTTGGTAAGCAATACTGCTGAATGATTGATGATGATGATGATGATGATGATGATGGTTCTGATGATGTTGGCTGTGCACCGCAGGATGATGCGGACCCAGACTGCAGCGGTGTACCGGCGTCGCTTTCAGCCCCAACCCCACTAACGCGGCGAGTACCCCCATCGCCATCGCCACCACCGCCACCACGGCCACCACCGCCGTCACCGCCGCCATCCCCGCCGCCGCCGCCGCCGCCGCCATCGCCACCGCCACCGCGAATCACACCGCTGAAGTCGCCGCCGCGGCTGCCAAAGCGTGCATCTCCGCCGCCGCCGCCGCCGCCGCAGGGGGTGCCACCCCCGCCGCAGGACCGCGCACCGGCAGCAAAGCGCCCTAAGAAGCGACCACCACGCGCACCCAAAACTACCAAGGGGGGGGGCACCTAAGCTTACTTTTCAGCCAGCGAAGGGGCGCCTGTGTGTTTTCTTTGATATCGGAATCAACAAAGGGGTCGAGGGGCAACTTCACTTCCTGGATCTTGTGTTAACTTGGGGTTTTGATTCGGGCTGCTGCTCTCTACCTCTGTGTAGCTCCTGGGAATGGAAGGGTGCACGAGATGGATGAATTTGGCTAGGCAGGGCTTTTCCTTCCGCCGGTGGGTGGATGCATGGATATACATACGGATGGGACCCAAGTCCATTACTGGGTTGGGGGGCCCTTGGTGTGATGGGGCCCGCAGCGGGGAGCACTTTTTCCCACCCAGCTGCCCAAACGAGTTGCCTCTGTACGTCTATACGTCCGTATGTCTGTATGTCTATATGTATGTCCGCCTCTGTATGTCTATGTATGTCCGTATGTCGGTATGCATGTCTATCTGTATGTCTGTCTGTATGTATGTTGTTACAGGGTGGTTAACTTCGCCAGCGGCCCCCTTTCCCGGGGCAGTCCCTGCTCTCCCCTGCTAGAGGGGCACCCTAATCCGTCACCCCATCCGACTTCAGAATGTATTCGTTGGGTTCGGCAACTCACCACCAGCATCCAACCAAATCTAGCGGATCAACGGCGCATCAACTTAGTTCCTGGTCAGCTCGCAAGTTGATATTATCACGTCCTACACCGTCCATATGATGGGGCGCCACCTCCCATTTCATCACTCCTCAAACACCCGAGGAGCCGGCAGGCGGATTTGAACCCGGGTCGACTGGGTCGACTGGGAGCAGAAGTCAGGCCTTAACCTCTGCCAGCCGCCTGCCGTCTGTCTGTATGCATGTCTGCATGTATGTATGTTGTTACAGGGTGGTTAACTTCGCCAGCGGCCCCCTTTCCCGGGGCAGTCCCTGCTCTCCCCTGCTAGAGGGGCACCCTAATCCGTCACCCCATCCGACTTCAGAATGTATTCGTTGGGTTCGGCAACTCACCACCAGCATCCAACCAAATCTAGCGGATCAACGGCGCATCAACTTAGTTCCTGGTCAGCTCGCATGTATGTATGTACATCTGTATGTCTGTATGTGCGCCCGCTGCAGTTATGTAGGATCTTACAGCACGTGCACAATCAATGCCGTACAGAATGATACGCGTGTTTGATTGGTCCCCCTCTGTGCGCGGATGTATCTCTGCACGCGCGCGTGTGCGTGGTTCGCCAGCTGTCGGTAGCTTCAGAAGTGGAGCAACCAAGCAAGCTGCCTCCATGGATCATCATCATCATCGTTTAGCTTAGGTGTTTATTCCCGCGTTTTCGCAGCTGGGAATGCGCTTCAGCGTGTATTTGTAAAAGGTTTACGGAGTAAACGTAGATCATAACCGCTTTAGCAAATTAGAAATGAAGGAAACGAAGGAAAGAATGAAAGAAGTATCAAAGCTCCTTCAGTATTTGTCAGAGATTGGATAACGCAAAATTACTGGAATAAAATTGAAGAGCTTGCCGCGGAGAGAGAGAGAGAGAGCAAAACGTATCTTTTGACGGTGGTGTGTGCCGTACTGTACGGCAGCTACCGCGTACACACGCATAGCCGACCATAACTCCAAATAAGTTCTTGTTACCCCGCGAAAAAGTGTTCCGCCGTTCGTTCTTCCTTTTCCCTCCAGGTGTCTTGCCCACGTCTTGCTTGGAACGATCGTAACTTTGCCAAAGACTACTAATAACCGTCTTTCGTGTAACAAGCCACGAAAGCATTCAAGCGCTGCATGTTAAGCTTGTCCAAGAACCTTCAGGCTCGCCTGATTTGCTTTATTTCTGGCATAGATTGAACGTAAAGCTGCTTGGTTTACAGTAATGTTGATGCAAACGGCGATTAGGCACCGCTTGTTGGCAGATGACGTTTCTGCAGCTATGGCTGCATCTCCAAGTGCCGTGAGGACCTCTGCCGTTAGGGAGGGCCCTTTGTACCCCCTCAGGCTCTCTCCCCGTGGGGAGCCTGAGAATCTCCCAAAACGATTTTCCCTGGGGAGCATTTCGCCATGGCTCAAGCGCCCGCATCCAACGCGCCCGACGAGTTAGGGAAGGTCCAGGAGTGACTCGCGCCGCCTAGCGCCGTCGGTTTCCCGCAATCCCGGCGACCTTCCCGACGGACCAGCACCGCACCTGTTTGTACGGCGTATACTACCCAGCCCTACAGCAAAACAAAGCTTCAAACGAAACTTCCAATTGCATGATAATGAGGCAATTAGTAAGCGAAATTGCCTCTGTTGGTTGGGTGAATACGAACAATAGCTCTGCCTTACCAACTTCACTCGATCATGAAGGTCAAGGATCCCAGTCAGGATTGTCTGTGTGTCTGTGTGTCTGTGTGTCTGTGTGTCTGTGTGTCTGTGTGTCTGTGTGTCTGTGTGTCTGTGTGTCTGTGTGTCTGTGTGTCTGTGTGTCTGTGTGTCTGTGTGTCTGTGTGTCTGTGTGTCTGTGTGTCTGTGTGTCTGTGTGTCTGTGTGTCTGTGTGTCTGTGTGTCTGTGTGTCTGTGTGTCTGTGTGTCTGTGTGTCTGTGTGTCTGTGTGCGTGTGTGTTTGCAGGTGAATGCCCATCTGTGTCAAATAACCTCTTGGTGGTTTCTTTAAGAAGTGGCATAGGGCGTGGCATATCGAGCTTATGACAGGCGTTATACCAAGTTTGTTCGTTTGTATGCAGGCCGGAGTCAGCAACCCGTGGCCGTCGCCACACGGCTTCCCCACACCCGCGACGTGGGCTCGACGTTGTAGTATCCTGGGTATAACGGGATCTGACATCCGCCGATCGGTTCTTTTCTGAAAAAGACGTGATACAACAGACGTGCGGAGTCAGTGGAAGGCCAAAGCAGTCATGCGCGTGGCAAAAAAAAACACTTTATCCTTAGCTCTACGCTTGCAGTTCTTGCTGGTCTGACCTGGTGTTATCGTATGCCCCGTTTGCAAGTGCACTTCCCCTGACCTCTGCCTGGCATACAATACAGGATATGAGCCGCCGCGGCTAGTGGGGGGGCCCCACGGACTGTACGGCCGTGGAGCGTCGACAGCGATAGTGTCGTGGGTCACCAGCACCAGTTAGTGTGAGGGTGAAAAGGGATTACTAGTCTAGTGGGATATTATTAGAGCGTGGGTCACCAGCGTGTTTCATTGATCTGAGCCGCGCGCGATGAAGGAAACGGCGCGATGCGCGAGGTTTGTAGGGCTCGATCTAGAGAACAGAGTTGTGGAAATTCATTTACAGAGAACAGTTTAGTAAGTAGAACATGACAGTTAAATGAGGTACACACAGAACTTCTCAAGTATTATAAAATTATTTATCACAGCGACGCGATGCCTCACAGCATTCACCCGGATAGGTTACTGACCTAAGTATCCTATCCAGGGGGACGTGCGCACACCCGGGTAGGGGGCCCTGCATGCATGCACTGTCCCCCTGCCTAACTGTCACACAGTACGGGACGTACGGCTTGCAATCCACTTGCAACCACTAAAAGTTGCCTAACCAAAAATCACAAAACGCAACATGCAGGTAATAAGCGTAGCAGTAAATGTCCAGGGATTAGCACACCGCCAAAGCACATGTTCGTCTACCAGGCGAACTACTATGATAGCATCTGGCGGTTTGCCGTTATCCTATGCACATTTATGCACAGAGTCAAGTCGCTTAGCATGAGAACGAAGCCAATATTTCAGCGGTGCATCTCAGAGCCAGAGCGCGGCAGCAATCCAGCCTCTCATTCTGCAGCTACAAGCAACCTGGACCTGAACTCTCCAGAGGTAGAGCCCGGCTTAACCACTGCTCTTGGGGGGCGGGGACCCAAGCTGGATTAGGCGTGGTCGCGGCGGCGGGCGTGGTGGGGCCCGCACTGGAGATGGGCGCGGCGGCCGTGGCGGCTTCGGTGTCGGCGGCTTCGGTGACGGCGGCCGCGGCGGGGCCGGGGACGGCGGGCTTGGAGATACCCGTTGTACTGGGGCTCCCAGTGGGGGCGACCTCAAGGGAGGGGACAACCTTGGCGGCGGCGGCTTTGGGGTCTTACTGGTGCTTACTGGCCGAGGTGGCGATGGTGGCGGTGGCCTTGGCGGCGGCCTTGGTGGCGGCGGCCGTGGCGGCTTCGGTGTCGGCGGTGGGGTAGGAGGAGGTCGCGGTGACGGAGGCGGTGATGGTGGCGGTGACGGTGGTGGGCTGGGTGGTGGTGGGGGTGATGGTGGCGGTGATGGCGAGTTCATCACCCCGTTGCAGTCTGGGTCGGCTTGATCCTGCAGATTTTCGTGCAAGGGCGACAGGCAGCCGGGACGGAGATATTGTTTACAAATACCACTTTACTGCTGTTGTGCTGTGTTGGGGATTCACTCTGCAGAGTGAATTTCCTTTCCAGCTGGAAAGGAAATTTGTTGAATGAATGTTGACTGGCATTGCACATCTGTGAAATCTAATAATCGCCTATAGATTGCATCCTGGTATAAAAGAATGGACGGTTAACTACAAAATTTACCAGGGCGGGCACGATCTGTTTGGCGATAAGGAAAACAGACTGCGGTGCAATGTGCTGCTCGCTGCGCCACCATCCGTAGTGGCCGTACAGCAGATGATGCAGAAAATGGTACAGCAGCAGACGGTGCTTTGTGTGTGTGTGAGTGTGTGTGTGAGAGTGTATGTGTGTGTGTGTGTGTGTGTGTGTGTGTGTGTGTGTGTGTGTGTGTATGTATGTGTGTGCGGCAGGCATGTGGCACACGTGTAACACACGCATTGGTGTGCATTTGGTACAATTAATGTGAAATCAGGGCAGCCGACACCCGACCTAGGTTTCTGGCCCCCTCTCCCACGACACACAACTGACTAGCCAGCATGGGTGCGCGAGCACACGCACACACATACAAAAAACATATATATAGGGTTTTATATATAGGGTTTTATATATATGTGCATATATATGTGCATATATATATGTGCATATATATGTGCATATATATATGTATATTACATTAATTGTACAGACGGGCACCAGCCCGGGCCCTTCCCGACCATAAACTCACCACCAGGCCATCACAGTCGTTATCGCGGCCATCGCTGCAGGAGTTCCCTCCCTGCGCCTCCTTGGGCCCGCCGGAACGGCAAACTGACACGATGGCATAACCGTCCAGGGTCCTTTTAGCGTCGAGGACCTTCACGACGAGGCCAGACCAGTTATCATCTCTGTACACCTCGCCAGCCCAATAGCTTCCCAACTGCTCTGACTTTACCCAGGAGTTGGCAGCCTGCACTCAGGAACACGAGAGCGAGTAAGAAGAGTGGGCGAGGCGCGAAGGAAGCAGAAGAAGGGTTCATCCCGAGTGGGCGTCGTCGGGCCTCGTTCATTGCAGTGGATAAAAACTTCTATATATCGAAAGCTATATATCTGCGCCATACCATTGGATTGATACCTTTAGGGGTTTAGTTCTTGAGGGTGAAGGAGCAGAAGCAAGGCGCTGGATCCGATGGGCGATATTACACCGAAAGTGAAAGTGTAATCGTACCCTGGAACATTCTTAGCTGGGGGCCGCCCATGTCTAATGTACCAGGACTGAACGCAATCTAGGGATTGGCGATCAAATAAATTTACAGACGCTATATATCGGTAAATGTTTATGTATTGCAAAAAGATAGGTCACTCTGACGGAATGTTGCTGAAAGTTGCATATTAATGACAGACAAGCTATCTACGCGAAATATGCGGCACATCGACGACCCTGGGGCTAAACAGGCTGTTGTACGTGACGCCCCGCCCCGGCCCAGACACGTTCCCTCATCACGTGACGCGCCCTCACTCCCGCACGCTCGCACGCTCACACTCTCTCTCACGGACGCACCTGTGTTCCGTTGAACTTGTACAACCATACTTTTCCACTAGTGTTGGCGAGTGGGTTATTGTCATTAAAATACTCAAAGGGGTCCTCCCTAACGCGGTAGGACACAAAGAATATGGGCACGGGTGTAGACCACGATGTGAATGCCTGGTTGGGCCCCAGCTTCCAATCCGGCGAGATACGTAGGTAGGACTGCAAAGACTTGACCTGGACAGGAAGCGTAAATTTCTTCCACTGTCCAAAAGGCAATGTGCTTCCGTTGAGGTCGCCGCCAGCAATGGGTTGCAACCAACCCATGCGCCAGGAGTTCGGGGCATTCAAGCAGGTGTACCCGCTGCAGATGCACATGCACACAGGGATCATATACGTTTGTTTGTCATGGCCAGCCCAGATCGCTGCGTCCTCCTAACTGCGTTTTGAGAATTGCTGGAGATCGTCAGGGTTCCTAAGATCCGAAGTCGGTCAAGCAACAGGACATTTAGTTGTGCACATGCAGTACTGCGTGCATGGGTGCTTTCCATGATCGAAAACCATGGAAGTGGCTCTCGTAGGTAGGTAGGTAGGTAGGTAGGTAGGTAGGTAGGTAGGTAGGTAGGTAGGTAGGTAGGTAGGTAGGTAGGTAGGTAGGTAGGTAGGTAGGTAGGTAGGCGCAAACGGAGACAGACGTTCCGTGTTCAGCTAGCTGACAATACATGTACACATGCAATCCATAGGTAGATCGCCAGCATGTGCGAGTTGGCGTACATAGCGCACGGGGGGCGGAACTACTTACTATCCCATCGCACACGAGTAGTCGCTGTACTCGCCGCCCCCTTCAACGTTTGAGTGATGAAGCCCGTAGTTGTGACCCATCTCGTGGAAGAAGATCTTCCTGTGAAAATATGCAATCCATGTGAAGCATTTGGTTCCTAGACAGCCCAGGTTCGCCAAGCCTGAGGGAGGATGGTGCATGCAGCAGCGCATATCATCATCATCACTTATCAAAAAGAAAAGGAAGAAAACCTTTCTGGGGGCCCTGGTGTGTGTTACGGGGCATACGGAGGGATGCAAGGTTTTGGGAATTCACGGTTTTCACCAATTTGTCGATAACATAATTTACTCGCGTGATAATCAAGTTCTCCGAAAGTCACATCCTTTGATAAATTGTATCGCCTATAGGTCGCGTTATCGTATAACAGATAGGACCGCGAAATAAATCTATATAGATTCCTTGCATAGAATGGCCTAAAGATCGTGCCCTGGTGTACTAATAGATAGGCCTGAGGATAGGTGGTCTATAGACATTCCTCAATTTTACAGAAGTATATCTACTCACCTCCCCAACTTCTACCACAGAATGCCAACGGCGGCAGTACCATGACACGTTGTTTAATACCCGAGATGTTAACCCGGAGAGTGTCCTGCACATAAGCCTCCGCGAGGTCGTGCATCGCGTAGATCTCCTGCTCAGACAGCAAGAACGGAAGGAAAAGGCGGGGCGGGGACTGTAAGTTGCAGAGGTCCAAGCACGCTGCTGATGCACGTGGGCATCAAAGGCTCGGCTCAGCGGAACAAACTTCCTGCAGCGTGACATGTCCGTACGTCCCTCAGCAGCACGCACGTGCACGCACGGCCTGGCAGTTAACGTGCGTGTGCAATTTTGCAATAGCTGTGATCTTGCGACGGCCACGAGTTAGTTCAGCTATTGTGTGTATACATCATTAATGTATTCTGTACAACTGTAAACTTTTTGAACGCCTTTACAGGTTGTGCCCTGATACGTTAGATTAGATTGGACCGCCCCAGAACGGCATTCTATTGCACCAAGGTGCGATCTACAGATGGTCTTACAGACATAACGAATGTTCACCGATCCGCCCGGGCTCGCTCCAAATTCCCCTCCCCGAACACACATACACACACATACACACACATATATACACACATGTATATACACACATACACACACATATATACACACACATACACACATACACACATACACACATGCGCGCGCGCAACTCACCGGGTCTCCGCAACTGTTCCTAAAGTCGAAAGGAGCACTCTTCGGTCCCCACACTCCAGTGCACGGCAGCTGTTTGTAGGGTTTGGGGGGGGGGGGGACACAACCGCGCCGGAATGAAATCATGATGCAGCACGTGAAATCTACGATACGGTCGTCTGTAATTGAAAAAACATGTGTCTTTTGTAGATCGTGCCCTGGTATATTAGACAAAGATCGTCCCTACCTAAAAATAATATGTACACACTATTGTTGACAACAGAACTGACTCACGTTAACCTCAAAGAATAGTTGGTTGGCTGCTGACAGGCGCGCGGCTCCTCGGGAGCAATAATTGAAGTAGTTTTGTACTGTGCCTTCGTTGGGGGCGGTGTTCGGGCCATTGGCGTACAAATTCCGCAACGAACTGAGGGTTTCTTGATTATAGTTGCAGAACTTGAGAAGGAACACGACGCTGGTGATGTTCAGTACTTGTTGACCGGTGGTCACGTCCTTGACGGTGGCTTGTTGATCTGCGCCACCCGCAAAGCCGAAACTCTCAGCCACCCGGGCGCGGACTGCAGTGGCCTGCATCCGGCGGCGGTAGCTTCTGGCTGGGATCTCCTCTCCGTTCGTCGCCTCCAGATTGTCATAGTCGGAAGGTGTGTCCGGCAAAGCCTCGATGCGGACACGCTGCCCGGAGTATTTCTCGGCTTCTTCATCGTCAAGCAGCACATTGGTGACACCGCCATCGTCGTGTCGCAAATAGGTTAAGTATCCGTCAGATTCAAGCACGATCACATTCAGCTCGCCTGCGGTTGTGAGTGTTCGCGAGTGCAGGCAACATGGCAAGGTGAGGTTGGACTGGATGTGTGACAAATGAATCCGTGGGGAATGGATAACAAACACTGCTGCAGCGCGGCTACGGCCGGCAAAAGGGAACAAAGCGCAGGAGATTGGAGAAGTACCAATCACGCTTCAATTGTATTATCTAGTTTAGATAACAACAACGGATGTGTCCCACAGGGTGGCTGGTCTTACTAGTACTGCCAGTACTAGTGGAACTGGAAAAGCGAGTGCATAGCGTGCGCGCCAACAAGCATGAAGACGGAATTTCCTGCGCGTTGCCGCCTGGAACAATGATAGCTGCTGTATATTGAATTGAATTGAATTGTTAAATGACTTTAGTACTCAAAACGACCGTAAGCAGCATGGTTGCCGCTGCTTGATAGGAACGTACGAATCAATGAGGGTCGCTTCGGGGGTAGCCGCAGATATGCACAAAGAATTGGAGCCGCTGAAGGCCGTGAATGTCTGAGATTCAAACGTACCAAAATAAAACGTGTGGTTAGGCTCTGGTCCTTTCGCTTTCCGGGGGATGTACGCTCGCTGCTGCTAACCTCTTTGTTTTCGCTACCTAGCTAAGGATCAGGGGCCCCATTATACATGTACTAAAGAATTCTGATGATGATACAGGGAAATGAATATTGTTGTAACGATCAGATTTTACCAAACAGCTGTCGGCGGCAAGGCGTTACCCTTCACTTTCAGGGCATTACAACGAATTACAAAAGCAAACACATTATAGGTTTTCTAAAAAAATTATAATCGAGCGCTGTATTTGTATAGGCTTTCCTATGGAGCGTAATATACGTGTCGATGGCCTCACCTTCCATGGACCGCAACATCGGTGGTGACGCTGGCGGTGAGGTAGGAGCGTTGGGTGAGCTTGGCTCCAGCGGCGACCGTGGAGGCCTGTGCAGCTTGAGCGTCTGCTTTGCAGCGGGACGGGGCAGGGTGCGCTGCCCTTCTGCCGCGGCGTCAGCACCATTGCAAAGTAGCACCAACAGGCCCCCTAAACAAAGTCCTATGAGTGCTCTGGGAGCCAGGCCCTTAGGCCTGGCTGCCATTCTGTTTAGTGTGTGCAAGGATTGACGGCTAGATTAAGTTCCTTTAGAGCGTCCAGGTAGGGATATAGGGTAGGGAGTACGAAGGGCCGTCAGTCGAGTTTGCCTAGACAACTTTGTGGAATTAGAGCCAAGCACCACTCTCTATTAATCACTTTATTAATATTATCGATTGATGTGAAAAATATAGTTTTTTTAAAAGAAAAGACGTTTGTGGGTGAGCTTTTATAATCGGGGACTTGGAGCGACACGCGTCGAAGCGATACTTTCTGCCGGACACACGGGTGCCGGTTGGCCTGCCTGCGATTCCACCGCGTTCCGGCTGAATGTCCGTATCGACGTTTCCGCCCCATTACTTTTATGGATCATACTTTGGACTAATAAAGTTGCGTGTGTTTATTTTTCAATCAGGTGCCATCGATGGCTCCGTCCGTAGGCGGGCAAGTTGGCTCAGTTGGAGCGACTTGTTTGCGTGACCTTTGGCATAGCATTAGTCATGCATTCTTGTACAGCTAGACGTGTGACCTTAGCTTGGCATCTTACAGAACTACCAAAGCGCGCTGCAAAGAAAACAGCTGACGCCGAGTCACATTGAGGTCGTGCAGACGACAACATGCTGTGACGAGGGTGTACCTACCTACCATTATTAATGTACCGCCGTAGCTACCCAGTTGGGTAGGTAGGGCACTATAATATATGTTTAGGTGGAACGTGAACGCTAATAATAATCCAAATGCGCTACCAAACAAAATTAGTCAATAGACGTTAAGCCCGTAACTAACTTTTGTTAAGGATTATCCTTAAAAACTCGCATGCAATACAGTATATCTAATAGCCGTTGCGAATGAGGCTTTGTAAAAATCAAGCGGGGTTTTGTATCAAACACATGGACTCGCCGTCCAGCAGTGGAAGTGCAAAGTAAAGGTTGACGCGTGTCCCATACAAGCCCACGTATGCACGCACGGTTGCATACATAGCAGTAACCAAGACTTGCTTGCGCGCAAGCAAGCAAGTCTACCGCATGCATGCGGTGTAGGGCATGCGTGTTTGTACCGACCGCATGCGGTAATGGGTTGCAGCAGGGTTGCGTTAGCATTGGGATGACGAACCTTTGGCTACGTGCCCGAAGTTATAACTTCGACCGCCGACGTCAAAGCGCCTGTTATATGCGGATAATAACAACTGTGGAACCGCCAGCGGTTGCTTGAGTGTACGTGTTGCAGGAAACATCGGTAAAACGTCTTATAGTCTATCTTCGCATAATAGATGGGACCAACGGATAGATGGTATTTATAATCACTGAATAGAATGATTTACAGGTCTTGCCATAACATACAAGTTACAAGTTCAGCACGCAAGCCTGCAGGTACACGCGGCGTGCTCACGGCCGTTAGGCCGGTTAACTCCCAACAGCCCAACCGGAAACGCACGAGCACTTGATGAAAACGCTGGGGCGTTGTTGCTTCAGTGTGCGCCAGCCGCACCAGACGCGCACCCCTACAGAACTTAGAGCTGCTGCCTACTCCTGTAGTTCGGCATTCTGCCTACACGATTAGGAGCTCTGTTTGCTCTTACTCCTCCCCCCGGGCCCTATTAGTCCGGCTCGGCCCATCATGCAGCAATTCCAGATGGATAACAGACCACAGGGGCACGATGGCAGACTGCGCCAGCCGGCGCCGCTCTGTCACCGCGCTGCGCTAGGACCCATTTGTAGAGCGTCGAGCCTGTTGCTAGCTCTCCCTATCGCGTGTTTAAGCGCGTAACACAGTCACAGTAGTAGCCGCTGGGAGGTCGGCTTGAGCGCCGCTGCCGCACCCCCGTTTTCCCGTACGTGGGACTGTCTGTTTTGCCGTAAGCATCAGGCGGTGTTAACTGCTTCTCGCCGGGTGCCAGTTGTGTGTACGGCCGGCCTGTGGGTCGCGCCAAGCTGCGCCTTTAAGCGCTTGACTACTGCGCCTTCGCGCGCGTTTGCCGTGGTCATGGCACAAACGCTTGTCCTTTGGTTTCCGTTCCCAGAACGAGAACCTCCTGCATTGTCATGCCCAATCCCAGCCAAAGTGTCGTTTTGCCGTTTGCCCTGAGCTTACCCGATTTGAAACCAGCAACAGCAGCCGAGCCGTAAGCCGTTGACGGGCTTTAGTTCAGAACTACACAACGTGCATATGCAACAATACACATATGGCGATGGCAGGGGTACGAATATATACGAATATATACAAATGTTTACGCATCCAGGCAAACTCCAAAGGGAAACCGGCGCACTTATTAATAATGCTGCGTTTACTCTGTTAGTGCTGCATGTCCTTGCTTCTCTTAGGCCGCACCGTGTGTGTGTGTGTGTGTGTGTGTGTGTGTGTGTGTGTGTGTGTGTGTGTGTGTGTGTGTGTGTGTGTGTGTGTGTGTGTGTGTGTGTGTGTGTGTGTGTGTGTGGCTGGCGCTATAGCTAGACAGATCGCGCTTCTTTGTAGTATCCGGGGCATGTCTATCACGGTACGTTTCTGAAGTCGTGATACAACATTTTTCACGCGCGCCTTCTGCTGATGCTGCTGGCGAGCAGTAGCCTGAAGTGGTGGTAGCCCCGTGGCAGCAACATTTCCGCCTTTGCCCTGTCCCTGTACAGGCACATGTCCGGCATAACTTTCAAAGGATGCTCACAGCGGCGGAGTGATGAGGGCCCGCCCTGCCGCGCGTGGCCGGCTATATGATGTGTGGGACAGGGGGCCATTCTTCACCCGTGGCCGCTACCCGGCGAAACCCTGCCTTCCCCGGTATTTCGGGGCACCCTCATCTAGTCACCCTAGTCAATTTCTCAAGCAAAATTAGGTCGTCAAATTCACACTGCTGGCCAACGGACAATAACAGCGGCAGCTAGCAGCTGTTCTGGTAAAGAGAGCTCGTATCAACTAGCAGCCGAGTCCGAGATTGCCCGGAAGATAATTCGACAAGACTAAACACCACCGATCAAATAGCAGTTCAAAACAACAACCAACTAACTGCACCGTACGACGCCGCTCTGACGCCCCTCTTCAAACCACATTTTCGGCTACGCCTAAAATAAGATGTTCCGCACCCACCACCACCAGAATTCAACGGAATCTGCCGGATCGACGGCGGCCCAACTCCATTCCTGGTCGGCTCGCGAGTCAACTTTATCCCAGGTCACCACTGTCCATCGACTAGGGGCACTTTAACTTTCACCACCGGAAGGTCTCAATCCCGGGATTTCCCGGGGGCAATGGTCCGTGAGCGACACTCTCTCGCTCCGGGCCTTCCCATGCCTCATCCCGGTCTCCCATTTTCTGGGCAACAGCCAGTGGGTATTGCCTTACCAGTAGTGCCTAACCTGAGGCTGTAATACATGTAGCTGATGATAACGGCACTAAGGGAGCGTTTGATGAGCGGCTGGGACCATACGCGTCTGACTGTCTTGCCAGAGGAGTACCCATCAGATGGGAAGCAACCGGGAGTGCAAATGGCGAAGTATAAGCACTGGATGGGGCTGCCCTTTTCGGGAGCCGCAGCCGTCATGTGGCCAACACACATGCTAAGGTTTTCATCCCTCGTTTAGCACATCGTAAGCTAATGCAGTTTCGTTTATGTTGCTGGGCTTTGGAGGCAAACAGAGCACGAAGGGGCAAGCACCATGGCCCCAGGGGGCAGCGGTTTTGCCGCTGTTGTGGTACTAATAGCCGATGAAAAACACGTGTTAATGGAATGCCCAGCCTATTCGTGCTGAAGAGGGATTCGATCATCAACAGAGCATGTTGCAACATTGGAGTCCATGAAATGGAAGCCAGTACGTCTGGCGAGGATGTTGGAACGTATGTGGGCTCACCGAAACTCAATTACCCCCTTTGGACGCTAGTCTGGGCTGATGTGCGGTGTTTCCTTTTCACCGTGGCTTTTAAGCGTTGTAGTATTGCCCTTGGGCCTCTCGTATGGGTAGTTTTACAGGTATGGGTTCACGCAACCCCAACCATGTAACACACACATATAGCTATAATACACACAATAATACATATTATCACACGACACTGTATGCTTGCCTGCTTATCTGTCAGTTGGAGGTTCGAGCAAACTGTTCGGTCCGTTTACTGACTACGCATGTTTACAGGACTGTCGGATTCTAGCCGGCGGCTTGTAACTACTGCTGGCCGAGAACGCCAGCTGCTGAATGTCGCTCCCGCAGGAGTCCATACCTTTGTATGGGAGGGGGCTTTATCTGAGAAAATCTGGGACCTGCGCTCCTGGTTCGTGTGGTTAACCGATTTGGGGGTAATTCTTGTTTGAGTACGGTCGTCCGAAGATCGCATCGCCTAGTCGTACCAGTACTGGGGTGTTATCGGCGGTGCGAGGCCCGAGTGGATTTTGCGGCGGGTACTTAACCAACCCATCTGCCTCAATCGGTATCTTTTCGATACCACCATTCTGTGGTTGGAGCTTACAGCACTATCATAGCGGTTTCAATTAGCCCGAACGCAAGCATGCAGAAGGCAAGCACACCGTGCAGTATCTGGCCGCTGAAAAGGCCTCTCAAGATGCGTTGTCACAGTGTGCAATAATAGGCGATGTATGTGTCGTACTGAACAACAGCTCTTACACGCCGTAACCGGCTCAGCGACGCGGACAGAGAGCAATCAACCAAGCAAGCGTGCGGTGGGGCTGCTCAAAGGGCTGAAATTAGGGTCGATTTTTCACATCTAATTTCTCACCCCCATGTCGCATCTAACCCTATTGCATCCCTCCAGGCTGCTGGATTGTTTGTGCAGAGCTACCAGCTGCATCTCGATATCATTTAATGCATTTTGCATTTATCCGCACCTTTACCATTTATCAGCCACATTTTGCGATATCCATTGCAGCTGGAGAAGGCATGATAAGTGCTGCGGTCAGTGTGGATGGGCGTTGACGAGCAGGAATATAAGATACCGCACCCTAGTATAATAGAATGGACGATCCCGATCTATGGACGATCAAAACCCTTACATCAGACGGTAGTGTTA